TAACAAGAGTAGCCGATATGCAAATCTGTGAAAAAAGTGAGACTAAAAACAAAAAACTGAAATTTACTACAAACAATTAGGCACCAGCTCCAAGCAAAAAAGAAAAAAAAAGAAAAATAGGAAATAAATCCACCATTAAGTAGACGTCCCAACAAACAGCAAATGCTTCATGCAGCTAACTTTTAATTCACGCAAGTAACTGGGATTGGTTTGCTCCATAGTACAGCTTTGTTTATTTTAATTTTTTCTGAAAAGATGCCATAAAAAGCCTTTAGGTAATTCGTGCTTTTAAAAGCGCCGGCGTGAGAGAGCATGAAATTTATATGTATACGTTGAAAGGAGAAACCTTTCATTATCATACAATATTGCCTTTGCATCGCTTTCTCTCTCTCTTAATATATATATATATATATATGTATATGTACCTACCTACCTACCTAAGTATCGCTTTTAACAAAATCAGCATGTTTATATGTTGAGAGAACTTTGGAATGATGCACATAAATGATGTAAACAGGAAGAAATGTGCACATTAAACGCGTAAACCAGAAATAAAATTTGAAAATATTACGACCTTTGTTGAAAATATCACGCGACTGTATTAGATGTACAACTGACAAAGGGTAATTTAGAAGATTACATGTAGCACAAAAAGCAAATCCATTATTATGTCTTGATATTTAATAAGTAAAGAAAATGTTTACTAAATTTATTCCACTTCTGAACTTTGCGAAAGCATAATTTAAAACCACTGCAATGAAACTGCTGCTGCACACTGCAAATTTAGAACATAATTTAATTATTATAATTAATAAGCAATAATACTCACCTTGATGCAATGGAAACGTTATTGAAGCAATGCACATGAGAAATACGAAATAAGTTCAATTTTAGGTTCGCCATGATATATTCGAGATATCTTTTTAATTTCTCATTTACAATACTTGAACTTTGCGACCACGAGTATATTTCAATGCAAGGGACAAATATTGTAAATGCACAATCAATAACTATTTAAAAAAAAAAAAGCGAAAAAGTGCACAACGCAAAATATATGTATGTATGTATGTATTATAAAACGCACAATGGAGAAGCAAATGTAAATTTCAGAAAAAAAACACCCTTTCAAAAAGCAAACACAAAGAATGAATGAAGAAAAAATTACGCGAGAACATAGAACTTTAGCCTTATTTGCCGGCCCGGCAGCCGACAACATGACGTTGTGAACTTGTGGAATAGGAGGTGTTTTGTAGTTTCAAACGTGAAGAGGCGAGCTAGCTAACGATCAGTCAGTTAGTCAGTCGGTTGGTGCAGTGCGGCGCGGTGTGATATTGTGCAGTTAAAGGCATTGTAATTACAGCTGCAATTGCTAATGTGCTTATTGAATTGCTCGTAGAATAGGCCCGCTATGACGCCAAAAAGGGGGGAAAGTGGTGGTAGCAGCGGAATGCGATGACAGCGAAAGCGAAACGAACAAAGCATAGCAAAGCAAAGCACACATACATGCAAATGCATGTGCAAAAGAGCACGAATACAACTAACAATCACAATCGGCAATGGGGAGTACGAGTGTGTATAACAATTTGAATAGACGACGCCGCAAATAGATATATATTATATATGTATACATACGCTTACGAATTCAAATAAACCCACACACGATCAAGTAACATCTACATATGTACATACATACATACAAACATTCGCCAATTTACCTATTCGTAGCGACCACCCGTTTGTATTGCACCCGATGTCTCCCCCAATTCACCGCCCTTCTCTCTCTTCTGTTTGGCTCCACCACTCCATATGGCAATTGACGAATTTTGCCGGTATTTGCTATGTGCAGTGCAGTTGGGTCTTGCTTGCTGCTTACGACGCTGCTGCTTTGAAATAATCTTCTTTCATTTTCATAAATTTTTGCGTAATTGTTGTTGTTTTTGCTATTCTGTGCTGCTACTGCTGCTGATACTGCGCTACATCGACGGCTGCTCTGCTGTTCGCTGCTCGACTGTATTTACTTTGATATTTTTATGGCGATAATGATGATAATAATGTAGTGGCTGGGCAGTTGTTCTTGTTCTTGTTGTTATTGCAATTCCTGTTGTTTTTAGAATAGAAGTTATGCAATACAAAATTTTGTTTTTACTTTTTGTGTCTAGGCGAACGATTTTGAACAAAGATTCGAGAGATATTCTTTAATATTATATATGTAGATGTGTGTATGTATGTAAATATGTGTGAACGCATATGTGGTAGTATGTTTTTATTTAGGTGTATTTACACTAATAATATTGTATATTGTGGGCAAGTGGAATGTGGTTGAAATTTGCTTGGCAAACGCTCACGCATTTAGGAATGTATGTACATATGTAGTAGTGTAAACTCAATTACCTGATATGTACATATGTGTGTTTGTAGGTATTTTTTAAATTGCATTTTTTTTCTACAAATAAAATCTGTAGTTTAAATTTGGGAAATTTGCTAATAATTTAATTTCATTATTATTATTCATCATTATTATTATTTTTATTATTATTACTTTTAATTATTTATTATTATTATTTATCTTATTAATATTTTTTATTATTATTATTTACCAGTATTATTTTTTAATGTGAAAATTCATGATACTTAAAGCTCTAGTAAAAGTTTTACGAATTTCAAGTCTTCAAAATGAAACATGTGGTTATATAATATATGTAGGTATGTACATACATATGAACACACCTGTTTATCATTGGCGCTTTCTAACTGATTAAGAGATTTTCACTCTAGCTCTTCTTCCTCCAATTTTTGGTCTGCGTCTTGATATTTCTTTTCCAACAAATTAAAGGACCTACAGGTTGTTCTTAGCCCTCATTTTTAAAGGCTGGCGTAGTTTTATGAGAAGCTTCTATTTCATATCAGAAATGCACTCGAAGGGCTTGACATGCTCTGCCGTTGAGCGATGGAAGGCCGAAAAATTAAGCTTTCTTTTTAGTTTAGATGCTGAACTGGCCAGGATTTGAGCCTCTCACGGTTAGTGACTATCATTTCCGTTGTCTTTTCAACGAATAAATCCGATAAAGGGTCACATATGACAACAGGAGATGGTTTGTTGTAACCGCAAAAATATTCCCCAGATCTATTTTCCGAGAATATTGCGAAAGCGACAATTCGGGTCGTTCTGGTATACAGACCCAACAGTCGCTGGACCTTAGCCGTCCACTACGAAAGGCATACCTTCGTTTGCGGGTACGGGGCTCAAATATTTAATAATGGTTGTTGTTGTTGTAACCGCCAAATTATTCTCCAAAGCACTTTTTGGGGAATGTTGAGGGAGTGACAGTCCTTGACCGGATAAAATTCCGGCTCGTTCCGGTATAAAGACCCGACTGTCGCGGGAACTATTGGATTTTAGTCGCCGCTTACGACAGGCATGCCTTACCACGGGTAAATTCTTGAGCCCCTAACCCGCAGGAGGGTGCCTGCTGTAAGATGTACCCAATTTGCTTAGCCATAACACCCAGCCCTGGTTGCAAAAAGCTACTTCTAAATAAAAACAAAAATTTCACAAAACTCTAAATGGACGCATATGTGCACATGCATGCATGTATGTACATTCCAATTTTTTTTTATCACCTGCTGCACCTTTAGAACCACCAACGCGAACACCACCACCACCGAAATCACCACTGAAATCCACTTATAAAATTAACTGCTTACAAAAATCACTGTCCAAGAGTTTTACACGCTTCAATGCTCTTTTTTGTTTTTGCTAACACTTGAAAAATCTTCAATTTCTTATTGCAACAACAACAACTTCCCTTGTTCTATATGTATAATTCAATATTGAAGTCACAACTCCTACTACAATACATATTACGCCACCAAGCCATACACAAGTACAAACAACACAACTAAAAGTACTTATGAAGTTTGGAGGTAGGAACATATATACATACATATGTAGATATGTATATGCCACAACTAAATGAAGAGCCCAAACACAAATACAGATGTTTGCAAGTACATTTCAAAGAGTCAAACTGGATATGGCAGAGGGCATCAGTGGTGGTAGCAGTACGAATGTAGTGTCATAAAAAACACTGTATTGCCGCATCATATTGCATAGTAACTGGCTGTCGGAGTACTTGGAGAGGCAGCAAAGCATAACAGTCGCAGTAGCAAACAAATGAACATGGACAAACTAGTATACATACATACATATTTACATAGTATAACACATAAGTTTTGTATAGCAACGACAATCACAAAGCATAACAAAGAGCTGACTGCCTCGTTGGAGTAGAAGGAAACTCCAATTTACAATACATGCATACATATGGACGGTATGGATGTAAGTGCATACATATGTACATACAAAAAATTATGCTGCTGCCTCTGCTGTTGTTGAGGTTGCTCCGGCAATGTGGCTGGTGCAGGCAAGCAGGCAGTTTGCTTGTCAAAAGGGAATCATGTTTTTCGTAGTTATATACATATTTACATATGTACGTGCAATGTACAAGTTTTGCCGTGGTGAACAAGAAAACGCGCTCTTCTACAGGCACAACCAAACAAAGCACGCGGCAGTGAGAGAATGGTGGCCAACAATGCGGCCATTTCGTTTGCCATACCAACGCATGCTGTCGTCATCAGCCAGCCACCAGCACATACAACACTGATTAGTTGTTTGCTTAGGCCTCCTTGCAGAGAATCAATAGTTGGTAGGTACACACATACATATGTACACCTATGTTGCACGGAGCCAATAATCAATGTTGCATTGAAGCTTGCTGATGTAAATACATATTATATATCAATTTATTGCTGAACAAGATTCTTCTGGCATACCCTTAATTTAATTTTGGTACAAGTTGAACTCCTACATACATACATATAACTCGTTACACAGAAGAGCACTTGGCTTTAAAAATTGACCTTTTTGCAAATTATTTACCTTATAATTAGAAAAAAATATTTTATTTGAAAACATTTAAATCTCCACAAAGTCTACTCACTTTTCACGATGCAACAAACATATACGATCCTTGGCCACCTTTAGCTTCTTAGCGATTATCTTCTTTAAGTTCTCCACCGAGATTTGTGGATCTACCGTCACACCGAAATTACCACCAGTCGTCGTATTTATATTCAAATTGATGTGGGGTAGTTGTACGGCATGCGGCGATGATGTGTGCTGCAATGTAGTGGCGGCTAGTGCGCCACCCAAAGGCATTGTGCGCGATGAGGGTAGTATAAATGCGCCATGTCTCGCCATAGCGGCAGCTATTGTGGAGGATGTAGAACCATTACTGCTATTTGTTGTGGAGGAGGAGGAGGTGATGTTGTCGGTGGTGGATGCTGAAGCTGGGGCTGCGGATGCGGATGCGTATGTTGATGAAGACTGTAATGTGTCGCTGGAGGAGGTAGAAAATGCGGCAACGTTGGAGGCATTATTAGTGTCTGTTTTTACGGAGGAAGTAACGCCGTTAACAGCAGTTACTGTCGCATCCGTATGCTCTCTTGTGTGTCTTGTAACTGATGGCATTGATAATGATGACGCTGTTGAACCACACCCAATATTTGTATTTTTATTGATATTATTATTTGCTACTCTAGTTGTGGTGCTGCTGGGTGACGCTGGTTTCAACATATAGCTGGACATTGTTGCAATATTGCTATCACAATGATTTGCTACACCATTACAAGTTGGCGACGTCGTCGTTGTCGTTGCTGTGGATGCTCCACCAACTCCAGCACTTGAGGCGGACGACGGCGGCGTTGGTGTTGTTGCAGAATCTGTAGATTTTTCCATGCCGTTTTAAAATTTTTTTTGCAATTTCTTTGCTTTGTTTAATTTGCACTGCTTTGAATTATTCTATTTAGTTTTATTTTTGTTGTTGTTGTTTTATTGTCTTCACTAGAAGCTTTCCTTCGTTTTTTTTTTATTTAAATTTCTTTCAACACTTGAAAACACAAATCAAAAAGGTAATTTTAATCATTTATTTTTTGTTTCTTTTTTCTTTTTTACTTTACTTCCCAATCACTAGTCACACACACACGCACACACACGCGTTACCCATAATCACATATGCGGAGCTACGTAATCGATCGATTTCCCCACACCTTGTGGTATAGCGGAATGACTATGGTTGCGCGGCGTACACACACGTATTGCACATATGTTTGTCCGTATATGAGATAGAAACGTAGACAGAAGACTTGATAGGCTTCGAAAGTCACTGTATATTGATGGCGGCGACAGCGACGATGTAAACGGCAATTGCGAAACCATACAAATATTGAAAAAGTCAGTTTTACGCGAAGTTATTACAACGACAACTCTTGCCGACAAACAGTAAATTTGAATATAAATTTGATATTGTCCCCGTAGCGGCTTTACATAAAAGTTTTAAAACACTTTTTATACATAGATTTGTTTGTTTGTATATACATATGTACTTTATATACACTCTGTAGATTGCAGTGTGAGGTGAGATATTTGATGCTGCTGCTGCTGCTGCTGTTCCATCCAACGATTATGTTGATAATGCTGCTTACGTCGTCAACGTCAACGGCGTCGTTGATTTCTTCTGTTCTTGTGTTCACTGCTGCTGCAGCAATAGCTGGCTAGCTTTCAAATTTTTCGAGGGCACACACACGAATGCTATGTGAAACCACATAAAACAACAAAAACAGCAATAACACTGCAATCAAATACAATCACTTGTGGTGCTGCTGCGACGCTCACATAGAAACAAAAAAAATGTAAATAAATTCAATGAGAGCCAAGCGCAAACAAACGAGCGGCGGAGTAGCGTTAACGACGATAGCGCCAGACAATGACGACGGCTATTATTACCAAAAAATTTCAAGCCAAACCGGACCAAACGCTCTCACTGACAGCCGAAAAGCAACTGAAACTGTCTATTGCCAGTTGGTATACGGCTGGCTGCAGTGCAGCAGAAACTGCCACCACTGCTCCACAGCGCAAAAGCGTTTTGACAACAGTTCTCTGGTGCTGTAGCAACTTTGCCGTGAGCAAGCGAAAATATTAAAACATATAAAATAATATATATGTATGTACATACATGCATATGTACGGCTGTGCGGCTGTGCTTGCATATTGTATTTCAGTATTTCAGTATTTCACAGTGATGATAGCAGAGAGGCATTGTATTTTGTATGTGTGTAGAAACAATAGAGCGCAGCGCTGCCAGCGTCGAAGTGACTTTTCTTTCCACAAAACCAGGCACGTAGCATAAATGACGTAAAGTACGCGGCAGCGGCAGAGCGTATGCATGTGAGTGTGGTTTTGCTTTTACTCTGGTTGGGATGTTGGAATCTCAGCTCATTGTGTATCGAAAAATGACGGTATAGGCAGTGAGGCGAAGTGTCAAATTGGGCAATTGGATTGTCTTATTTACCTTCCGTTATTTTCTTTGATATTCCGTATAAGGCAATCTTGTTTGGTTAGGTTCAATTTAAGCGCATATACATATGTGTGTTTGTAACAGAAAACTAAAATATATTTTCTTTGCCTGAGTGACATAATAATAAATTTTATAAAATGAAATAAACCCAACGTACCACTAAAAAAAAATCCAGCTAAAAAAATGTGTACATTTGTGCTACCTTTCATACATATTGTTGTTTGCGTGGGAGCCAACTAAATATTATTTTATTTATTTTTTTTATAACGAAAATTTCTCCATAAATGATGCCGAAATGGTTTAACATTGCTGCTAACAGAGTTTGAGCACGAAAAATGTTAACATTCTCTGCTCTATGCTGCTATGAGCCAATGAGCTGCCCGCCTGACCGGTGAAGCAAACGGTGACGTCAGCTGACAAGCGAAGGAAACCGCGTGCTAATTTTTAAACGTTGCTGATATTGGGCAACAAGAAATTTTTTTAAATAAAAAAAATTATATTTCCTGCTTATCTTAGATGAAATGGTAATTTTCAACACATTATTGTGCATCTTCATCACACCTAATCGAATAATTTCTTAAATAAATATCAGTAAGTAAGAAAACCTTTCGATTCCAATTAGAAATTCGAATTAGATTTCAGTGGAGAATGTTAGTATATACATACATAGGTGCATAGCTTCCATGAAACATATGTGTTTCACACTACAATTCCTATTTGAATTTTAGCTTCTACGCAAAAGCAGCGAACTGAGCCAAGTGAAAGAGAGAGTTTAGGCGGCGTGTTTTTTGTTATCGAGTATTATTAGAAGTGGTGAATGCCTCGATCAGTTTCCTCGAAAGGTGTTGGCTACAATTCGACCAGCTACTCCGAGATGTGTTGAATTCCTCCGAGATGTGGTGACAAAACTCGCGCACAAATTTTGCTTAACATTTGCTCTTTCTCATTATATTAATATTCTCTGTATTAACATTTTCTGGTAACAGTGATAAACGTAAAATTAACAGCAATGGTAATTATTTTGTTAAACTACTGCAGAGAACTTAAAATAACGAGAAGCAGAGAACTTAAAATAACGAGAAGGTGCAATTGACTTTTTGTTCGATGCTCGATTGAAGTTTCTACAGAGCTAGAAAATTTCGGGAAAGGGATTCACCACTCTGTTAAAATTTGGCTGTAAACTTACAGTTTTGATTGTTTAGCATAAATAAAAACTGTTATTGACGACAACAGAAGTAAAATCAATAGAAATATAATATAAATTTAATGGAAATTTACAAATCTACAAGAAATTTCTTTATTATAATAAAAATTTATTATAAATAATTATAATAAAAAATAACAAAATTAAAAATTGGTATAAAAATATATAATAATTAATAATATATTAAGGCTCCTTCGAAGGAAATTTGAACCAGCGCCAGAAACCAAACACTAAAAATATAAATACATATGTACATATGTATATGTGCATACGTACGCGCTAACTACTCAACAGCATAACCTAAAAATTAAATTTTTCCATTTTTATGTTCATTATAAAAATATTAATTATTAATATACCAAAAGTATTAAATAAAATAAATAAAAAATTTAATAATTTTGAATAAATTGAAGGAATTTGAACCTGCACAAGAAGCAAAAGACCAAAAACCTATCTAGCTTTTGCGCGCTACCAACTGCGCCATAGCATTATATAAAAATTCGCTCACATATTCTGTACTTATACCGAATCAAAGAATAGACCAATAGTTTTTCTTCTTCTTATTCAGTTAATTATACGAAAGAATTGTTCTCCCCGCGCGCACTTCGTCAACAATCGACTTCGGTTATTTGCACAGTGCGCGCGCGTGCATGCGAACAATGCGTACATTACTTCAAAGGATGATGCTCATTAGTTTATGTTATTGAAAGGTGTAGTATTTCCTAATTTTGATACATTTTGAATTGATTTGACATTGCTAAACTCTTTTAGTTCTAAATTCAAATTATATTTATTAAAATCTTATGGTTTGGGGGCATTTAGGGAACATTAATTTTTGAATTGCAATACATTTGTTCGCCTTATCGAGAGTACGTTTGTGCGTAACGGGTACAGAAATTTCTTCGACTTCTGATTTTTGTGAGCTGTGGCTTGTGGAAGAGCTGCGCGCGGGGAGAGGTATTGCTTTCGCTTACATACATACGCTTTGTTGACGATGCGATAAATATTTTTTGCAAGTTCAACTAGGCGACATATATGTACATATGTATACATGTTGCCATGGTAATGTTGTGCATATGATGTACGTAAATAAAGACATAATGTAATGATATTGAAAAATTAAAAATCTATTTTATTTTTTTTTATTAATTTTATTTTAATATTAATTAAATATTTTAAATACTATATTAAACATATGTGTGCATACATAATATGGACATTTATATGTAATACCATAAAGTTATTTAAAGCCAAATAACTTCAAATATTTTAATTCAGTCATAAACACAAGCCATTCATGCTATCAATCACAAAACCAACTTCATATGCGCAGCTCCTTTTACTCTAGGCGCTACTCTATTCAAAAAGCTATTTGCTATAAGAAGAAGAAGCATAAGTGCAACAAAAACAACTACCGTATAGAAACCCTCTACCCTTCTACTCTCCATCGACAAACAGTTTCCTCAAGCGAAGTCAAATTTTGCTAAAAATCCCAATTTGATGTTCAACTCACGCCAAAGTGAAAACACATACATTTAAGCATTTTAATATGTTAGTTAGTTAGTTTAACAAGTCGCTGGATCACGTTGAGAAAACAAAGTTTGTTCTGTTAAGGAGATTTCCTTCTCTTTCCAAATGCTCAAACCACTTGGTGTGTTTTATGAAGCTCTGCAAGACAATCGGTGAAGAAATTATCGAGAAAACGATAATGTACCGCACTGAGCGCTGGGCAGTGAATGAGGCAGTTTTCCACCGATTTCTCCTCATCTATGCAGCCCAGACCCTCTAACATGAGTCTTCTTAAGACAGTGCCCGGTTATTCATCGTTTGTTATGCCTACAGAGGTCTGGTGTAGGAGGAGTAGGAAAATAATTCGTGATTTCGGTCTGCCATCTGCTGTTGGCCCTTCTGGTGAAAGCTAGTCTTAGGATATACTTTGCCGCGGAATGCGGTATGCCCACGTCATACACAGAGTTTACCATGACTAGGACTGCTCTCTCTCTCTCTTTGGCCAGTTTTCGGGAAGTCTCTGTGAGCAGGAACCCAAACCACGGATAAATTCGTGAGTTTGTTTAAGATCTCTCTCCATTTTAATGCCACCTTTGAGACAGGATATATTATAATAGGTTGGGTTAACGTATTAGTTATGAGAAACCCAGAAGCGGCTTCCGTTATAGCGGTTAATTCCGCTTGGAATACACTAGAGGGGTCGGGAAGTCTTTTCTTAATTTTATAGCAAACCAAAACTTACTTGGCCATCAAGTTTAGAG